AAGGTGCCGGCACTTTGAGTGGAGCGTCAACTGCATCGTCCGTGTCGGGTTTTTGGCCTTGTGTGCAATTTTGCTTAATGGCAGAATAACAGTCTTGGTCCTTGACTCTTGAGCCTTTAAACTTCTGATTTATCCTTGGATCCTCATCTTTTCAAGTCTTTGCATTTAAGTCCTTTTTCTTCTAATTCTCTCCATTTAGTCATCAACCTTCAATCACCATAAAATTTGCACAACATGAATAAATGAACACTTATGAAATTATCTATAGAAAAATAAAACTCTTAAACCCATAATTCCACAAATGTCAATGGTTAAGCACACTTTAAATATACATTTTCATGCTTTCATCACTAGTGTCAGAAAATGAAGTTGCAGAATTTCTAAACATTTTGAGGAAGAGTGAGTATAGCATCATCAAACAGCTCAACAAAACCCTTACAAAAATTTCTGTTTTAGAATTGATGCCGTCATCTAAGGTTCATCTTGACACATTGCTCAAAGTCTTGAAAGAGGCCTATATGCCTAAGAACATTGATACTCAAAAGTTTGGGACTGTGGTTGGGGCAATCTTAGCTCCAAATTATATTAATTTCAGTGATGATGAGATTCCCGATGAAGGAAATGGGCATACCAAGGCTCTTCACATTTCTGTTCAGTGAAAGATGATGAATGTGCCCCATGTGTTGATCGACAATGGGTCAGCTTTGAATGTGATTCTTATGACTATTTTGAAGCAGTTGAAAATAGATGAGTCTCACAGTAATCAATGCAATACAATGGTTTGTGCTTTTGACGGAACAAAGAGGAATGTGGCTGGAAAGATTGAGCTTCTAGTGGAAATTGGCCCTATGACTTTTGACGTGGAATTCTTTGTTATGGACATTTCTCCTGCTTTTAATATGCTCCTTGGGAGACCTTGGATACATGTTGTTGGAGCAGTACCATCCACTTGGCATCAAAAAGTCAAATACATTATTAATGGCGAGGAAGAACACGTCATCCGAAATGCTACAACCATTCCTTACTTCGGAATTGATCCTGGAACTTATGAATCCTCTTATCACTTAATGGAGTGTGCTGCTGCTTCTTATATACATCCAAAGTTTAGAGGGGAACGGGCTAAAATGGCTAAACCTGCCAAGGTTGCTGCTAAGATCATGCTTTCATGTCATTACCAGTTGGCAAAGGGTTTGGGATTGAATGGACAAGGAATTCTCGAGCCTATTGAGGTAATTCAAGCTTGGGGCACTTTGGCTTGGGATACAAGTCGAAGAAGGAAGATTGGCAGAGAATGTGTGTTATTAAAGTAAAGAAGCGCCTTGCTAGACTTCAAGGGAGAGATCCAAGGGATGAACCAATGTGGGTGCTGCATATTAGAGTCACATTTCCATGACTTGTTGAGATCTTGTGCCTTTCTCTTGATGGATATGTGATGAAGCATGTAAATGTTTTATATGTAGATCTAGAGGGTACTATTTTCACTAATAGATTGCTTGAAATTGGGGAATGTTCAAAACAAGCAAAGTTTGAGGAAGTGGTTGTGGAAGATGTCACTGATGAAATTTCATCTGATGATGAGGAAGATAGTTCTGGTTTCAATGACCTCTTCGGGCTAGCCAACATGACAGATCCTAAGGAAAGGTGGAGAAGGATGCTCGTTGAAAGGGCATTTATGGAGAAGCACCCCAACTTCCATCTTGTTCATCATGCAAAAGCTCCAATGGGATCACATGAGTCTGTACCTCTTGAAACAGTGAAGGAAAAATCACTATGTGACTCGTGGGGAAATTTGACTATAAATGCTCTAGATGAGGAAGAACTTGAATTTGATAAGGGAATTTCTCTAGTTAATGGAAGCTCTTAGGCTAATTGGACAACGGAACTTCTCCCTATAGCTTTCATCTTTGAGTAAGAAAAGTCAGCCTCTAGTAGTTCTGCTTGTGACTACATAAAGGGAGGGATTCAGCAAGCACTTTTATATTTTTTGAAATTTATGTTATCATGCCTCTGGTATTCCCTTGCTTTCCTTTTCAATGAAACATGTTGCAATCCTACCTATTATTGTAAAAATCATCATGATGCAACTTTACTTGAACTTTCATTGTACAAGCCACTCTTTAATCATATATTTCATGAAGTTATCTAGTAACATGTCCTTATCTTTACTTTATTATTATTTGGTCATTTATTTACTTCCATCCATAATTTTCAGGCATACTAATGATGAATCTTTAAACAATGATGCCATATCAGACTTTATATATGAGATTGATGATTAGACTTATAATGAAGAAGACAATGAAAATTTTGATCTTTCTCATGAACTAACTCAAATGCTAAGAGAAGAAAAACTAAAGCTGCAGCCAAACCAAAAGACAGAAACCATTAATCTGGGTGCTGAAGATGACAAAAAAGAGATAAAAATCAATGTCCATCTATCCACAGAGGAGAGAAAAGAGTTGATAGAGATTTTAGCTGAATTTCAAAATGTTTTTGCTTGGTCTTATGAGGACATGCCGGGACTTGATCTTGATATTGCTGTTCATGCCATTCCACTCTATTTTGAGGCCAAGCCAGTCAGGCAAAAGCTAAGGAGGATGAAGCCAGGGGTTCTATTGAAGGTCAAAGAAGAAGTGCAAAAGTTGCTAGATGTCAATTTCATTGAAGTAGCTATGTATCCGGAATGGGTGGCTAATATTGTTCTTGTAATGAAAAAGGATGGTCGAGTTAGAGTCTATGTGGATTATAGAGACTTGAACAAAGCAAACCCCAAGGATGATTTTCCATTGCCTCATATCCAAAATCTACTAGATAATGCTACCAAAAATGCTTGGTTTTCTTTTGTTGATGGCTACTCTGGGTACAATCAGATAAAAATGAAGGAGGAGGATAAGCTCAAGACTACATTCAACACTCAATGGGGTACCTTTTGCTACAAAGTTATGCCTTTTGGACTTAAAAATGCTAGGGCAACATACCAACACTCTGTGATTTCTTTATTACATGACTTTATTCACACCATTGTTGAGCTATATGTTGATGACATGGTGATTATGTCCAAAGAAGAGGTGCTACACACAGAAAATCTCAAGAAGATATTTGAACGCCTTAGAAAATACCAACTGAGACTCAATCCTGCCAAATGTACTTTTGATGTGGATTGCAGAAAGCTACTTGGATTTATTGTGAGCCACCGAGGAATAGAGATTGATCCAGCCAAAATAAAATCCATTGATGAAATGCCACCACCAAAAACCCAAAAAGAAGTTGCAAGTTTCTTGGGAAGAATTAATTACATTGCCCGTTTCATTGCCAACCTCACCACCATTTGTGAGCCTATCTTCAAACTCCTCAGAAAAGACAATCCTCATACCTAGAATGACCAATGCCAACAAGCCTTTGACAAAATCAAAGAATACCTCAAAAACCCATCGATCCTTGTGCCAACAACTGATAAAAGGCTTTTCATCCTATATATCACTGTCCTTGAAGAATCCATGGAAGCCGTCTTTGTCCAACATGACGACTCAGGTAAAAAAGAAAGAAAGAAGAGACAACAAGGCTCTAGGCAGTGGTAGTTGGAAACTTCGTTATTCTAAGCATGAGAGTTAGTTCATGAAAAGGGGAAAGATTTGAAGTGTCAATATTTAGAAAAGGAATGAGACTCCCTCATGGACTAAAGAACTAATGGGTAGAATTGCAAAGAAAAGATGATCTGAAGCAACAATTTATGATCTGAATATCTTGTAACTAGTTGCATCAAAATCTTGTATTATTGGCCAGACTTCTTTTCGTCATTATTCAAAATTGACCTTTTGATCATCCTGACCATTACTTGAATCCAATGAAATAAATCTTTACTATCATTTTGCTTGCATTTAGTATTGGGAATGCTAGTTAAACATGAGGCTCTATTTTAATTAATGTAAGTGCTTATCTAATCAAAATCTATTGATGAATTGAAAGGTTGGATGAGAATTATAGGGAGAAAAGAAGCTAAATTTGATAGCCAAGGAGTCATCCATACTAGTTGAAGCTCCAATAGCAAATGAAAGTTTAACCCATTGGGGCAATATTTTCAAATATCTCCTCATGGGAAACAAATGAGATCCTACCTTTGGCATTCAATAGAGTATTCATGAATATGAATCTACTAAGCTGCTACATAGAGATTTTCACAAGTTGATGAATGCGCAACATAAAGCACATTTGACTGTCACCAGATATGGACTTCCAACATGTTCAGGGAAGTTTCTAAACCTCTTTTCATTTTCACCTTATCTTATATGTGAAAATTGTATCATTTACATCTGTTTCATTGTCACCACGTTTTTCAAACTTTGCTTTTGTCCACTCCTTAAACCATTCAATATCAACTCATTCGGTCATTTGACCATTACAGTTAAAAAACCATTTCTTGCTTGGTTAAAAAACCATTTCTTTCTCGGTTAAAAAACCGTTTCTCACTTGGTTAAAAAAAGCCATTTCTTGCTTGGTTAAAAAATCTTTTCTATCTTGGGTAAAAAACCGTTTCTTGCTTGGTCAAAAAACCATTCCTCACTCGGTTAAAAAACCATTTCTTTCTCGGTTAAAAAATTGTTTCTCACTTGGTTAAAAAACCATTTCCTGCTCGGTTAAAAAACCATTTCTTGCTCGGTTAAAAACTGTTTCTTACTCGATTAAAAAACAGTTTCTTACTTGGTTAAAAAACCATTGGTTAAAACCCCTTTTTGGTTCCTGAACTATTGTACGAACCCCCGATTTGGTCGCTGAACTAAAAAAATCCCTGATTTAGTCCCTATTGTTTACCATTTTTACCCCGATTTGGTCATTCCGTTAAAAATTGTGTGACGTGGCCTGTTACTTCACGGTTACCAAATGACATGTCATATAGTAATCCACGTGAAAGATAATATAGCCAAAAAGCGATGATGTGGAAAAAATAATAATATAAAAAAATATTATGAAAAATAAAACTTAAAATTTTTTTTCTTTTATCTTTTTATCTTTTTTCTTTCTCCTTCTCCTTTCCCTTTCTCTTTCTTCTTCCCCTTTCCCTTCTCTTTCCCCGCCTACTGGGTTCCTTATAACCCACCCAGGCGTTGGGTTCGCAAGGAACTGAACCTAGCACGCTTGCCTGGGTTGGGTTCCTTGGAACCTAGGCGCTGGGTTCCGTCTAACCCGGGGTTGGGTTCCATGGAACCCAGCTGGTTTGCCGCTGGGTTCTAAGGAACCATGCTGGGTTCGAAGGAACCCAGGTGTTGGGTTCCCTTGAACCCACGCCTGGGTTCTTCGAACCATCTGGGTTCCATGGAATCCAACCCTGGGTTCCGTCGAACCTAGGCGTGGGTTCGAAGAACCCAGCACGCCTGGGTTCCTCGAACCCAAGGGGTAAAAAATATATATATATTTTCTGTGGGTTTGGTGTTTGATGATGATGAAGAAAGCAAGGCAAGGAAGAGGAAGGAAAAAAAAAGGGCGTTGTTGGGTTCGATTCAACCCAGGTGCTGGGTTTGTTTGCTAAAGGATGGGTTTGTTTGCTGGAGGAAGAAGATGATGGCAAATTCGTAATTTGGTGGGCCCCCACTTTTGTTGGGTTGGGCAAGAACATGACATGTCACGTTGCCATGTCATTATTTATTCATTTATACAACTGACGTGTCTCAAATGTTTGATATGACATTAAATTGTCGTAAGATAACGGTGATATTTTAACGGAAGGACCAAATCGGGGTAAAAATGGTAAACAGTAGGGATCAAATCAGGGATTTTTTTAGTTCAGGGACCAAATCGGGGGTCCATGCAATAGTTTAGGGACCAAAAAGGGGTTTTAACCAAAACCATTTCTTGCTCGATTAAAAAATCGTTTCTGCTCAACTAGCTCGATCATTTGACTGCAGCCACTCAAAACTAGCTTAGTCGTTTGACCATAGCAACTCAACTCACTCGGTTAAAAAATCGTTTCTTGCTCGATTAAAAAACCGTTCCCTACTTGGTTAAAAAACCATTTCTCACTCGGTTAAAAAACTATTTCTTGCTTGGTTAAAAAACCATTTCTTGCTTGGTTAAAAAAAAAAATCATTTCTTGCTCGGTTAAAAAATCGTTTCTACTATATTAAAAAGAAAAATCCGTTTCTACTCAACTAGCTCATTCGTTTGATCGTAACTACTCAACTCATTGTTGCAGTTAAAAAACCGTTCAACATCAAATTGTTTGGTCATCCGATCGTTGCAATTTCTTAAATTTTTTTTTTACTTTACTTGTTTGGTTGTTAAGAAAATTTTGAGTTATTCTTATCTTTTCTTTTCACTCTTAACAGAAAGAAAAGAAAAGAAAAAATGAGTAACTGTCATAACCCAAATTTTAGTAGAATTTTATTTTATTTTTATTTTTATTTTTATTTTAACTAATATGTTTTGTCTTTGTTTTACTTGTTAGGTTCATTAAAAAAAAAGGGATTTTGTGAAGAAATCGGTAAAAGGAGATGAAGGAAATTAAGGCAAGGGACTCAATTGAAGAAATGAAAAGTTGAAGGGTGAAATGCATTAAAGTTTAACCCAAACCCAAAACCCATTTAACCTAAAACATAAAACCCATTTAACCCAAACCCAAAACCCATTTAACCTAAAACACAAAACCCAAAACCCAAAACCCAAAACCCAAGCCCAAAATTGAAACTACCCAAAAACCCAATTACCAAAAAAAAAAAAAAATTTAACCCAAAAAAAAAAAGTAAAATCTTTTGCTCTCCAGAACCTTCTTCCCCACACCCTTCGGCATTCTCCCTTTTCTTCTCCCGAACCAGTACCCCTTACGCACAGATCCCCTGTTGCTGAACCTATGCATCGGCCTTGCACTCCCACACCCAGCCTTGCACTCCTACGCCAACCCTGCTCTCTACGCACAAATCCCGTGCCTTCTGCGCCCAGATCGCCTGCACTCTGCGCCCAAATCGGTTGCAATCATACCCCCTGCACACCGGCGATCATGCCCTTGCAAGCCTCCTACACCGCACCTCTTTTATGCACCGTGCCCCTGCCCTTGCTGCCTGTGCCCCTGCTGCTACTGCATTCTGCGCCCCAATCCCGCGCCCTTGCCTCCTGCACGCTACAGCCATGCCCCTTCCTCACCTACAGAAAAAAACAGCACATATCAGACAAAATTGGCATCATCAGTGATTGACGGAGCAAGGCTTTTTTTATTTATTTCATTTTTATTTTATTTTATCATTTGGGTGTATATATAGAGCAAAGCAGAGTAAGGGGCTCTTAGGTTGATTTCGAAGAAAGAGGGGTTGTTTTTGTGTGCTTGTTGTTTGGTGTTTGTGTGTTGAGAACATTGATGAAAGGAAGAGCATTGTGTTGGAGGCATCACTGGATTACTAGTGGGAGATAAAGGTTTAGTTCTTTCGGTAATTTTCTGAAACTGAGAAATTTCAAGAAAGGGTGGTGAAGGTGATGAACAGAGCTTGATCCCGTGGGTGGGGTTCCTCTGTTTGAAATTGGATCTGCTGTCTTTTTTCTGGAATTTTCACTTTCAGATTTCTATGTTTGTTGATGTATGATGTTATTTTAGTGATTGATACCGAGATATATGGTAATTGTTGATGAATGAATGACAGATTTTACTAGTATGTAACCAATATGTGTTGAATTTGAAATTGAATGTGTGACTTCTGAAAAAAAAAAAAAAATAGTTTGAACGAATGTGAACCCTAATTTTAAATGTCTTCTTCCATGTTTGATCTGATTTCACTTGTTTTGGTAGACGGGTCGTGTTTTTGGGCTAAGTAGATCCGATCCAATCCACTAAAAAAAATAATGATAATAATAAATAAATAAATTAGAAAAAAAATTAAAATAAATAAATAAATAAATAAAAGATTAATTGATTAGGATAATTAGTTTGAATGTGTGATTAATAAAATTAATTAATTTTAATTAAAGTAAATTAATTATATTTATTAGCTTAATTAAATTTATTTTTTGGTAAATGTAATTTATTAATTTTATTTAATCATCTTAATTAGAGGAAGTTGATAAATGTAATTTATTAATTTTAATTAGTTTTAATTAATGTTGAATCTAATATTTTAAAAATCAAATCGGACCAGTCGGTTGAACCGGTTGGACAGGCACCAGCAATGAAAACAAATCTGGTTGATATCTTAAACCATTTAGGTGGTTGAACCGTTCAAAACCATTCAAACCGGTCAGAACTGGCAACTGTGCAACCGGTCGAGCCAACTCTTTGGATGAAATGCTCCAAAATTTGCCTCGCGTAGGTTTCGAACACCGAACCTCATGAAAGGTTTGCAAGCAATTTGCCACTAGAGCATCCAACCTATTGTGAAGCATGTTGCAAAGCATATATTTTAAAGAATATAACAATGATTTTAAGGAAAATTGGCTTCCTTTGGATTCGAACACGGAATCCCCTAAATAACTCCTGCCACCCGGTCCGAAGCAATTCTATTGTGCATTGATGCATTAAAATTTATTTATTATAATTGTATATGTAAATTGAATAATTTAAACACACGTGAGACTCGAACCTTGGTTCTGGTTACTTAGACATACGGAACCCGGACCACTAGAGCTACTACTATTTCATTGAAATAGGTTATATTATATTATATTATATTAAATATATAAATTCAAAATTCCATTAACCTGATTTTTTACCTAGTTAAACCGATTGGACCGTTAAAACCGTGAACTGAAAATGGTTTGACCTCCAATTTGGTTTTGAAAACATTGGTTGAATCAACCATCCAATTAAGTTAATAATCTTAACTAATTAACTTCAATTCTTTATTTTCTTTAATCTTTTTGTAAAGTCAGAATTATCTTTCTTTATTTCAATTTTACTCAAAACTTTCATGATTAAGCAATTTAGTCCTAGGTTTCAAATATTTTCAAATCAGTCCTTTATGTTTGTGAATTTAATCAAGTCAGTCCTTCATGTTTTGAATTTAATCAAATCAGTCCCTTCATGTTTTCGAATTTAATCAAATTATCCCCTTTGATTTTTATTTGTACTTATGATGCATGCATGTTCTTAATTTTGTCCATTTTAGTAAAAAAAAATTAGAAAAAGAAATGTTTCAATTTGGTTTATCCTTTTTCTTAAGTTTTGCCAAATAAGATTTAAGCATACACATGATAAATAAGTTGAATCAAAACCCCAATTTTAAAGTATGCAACCGTGTTTGAACGGAGGATTGCGAGGTGCATGTATACCCTTCTGCACTCCTAACCGAACCCTTGAACCCTGATCTCTACGCAGACCTATTTTAGGTGACTTATCCCACCTTATAATTTAGATAAGTAGCGACTCCCTTTTCTTATATTTTTCACACTTAACTTAATGTTAATCTTGGAAGTAGTGTATTAGCAATTTTGCATCTTTGGTGCATCCTACAATTTTTTTAATGTACAAAGTCAAATGAATGGCTAAACAACTACTTCCATTATATTTTTGAAATTTAAGAAGTTTGAACTTTGGAGGGATCACGACTTTTAGCACCAAACTTTAAGAAGTTTGAACTTTGGAGGGATCACGACTTTTAGCACCAAACTTAAGTTTATAGCTTATACCATTCCATTGGAACCAAAATGCTTAGGTGAAGTGAAAAAGAAAGAAAAAAAGTTAAAAGAGAAAAATTTCATTAGGACACGCCTATAAGAAAAAATCTAAATTTTATTCAAAAACACAAAGCACCCAATACAAGCTTTTCTTTGCTCTCCACCTCCCTTTCTTAGTTTTTCTTCTTCACGTATATATAAGGATAGATTGAAGCCCTAACTCTATACAAAGAGAAAGATCACAAAACAAACTCTAAAGATTCTTCCCTTCCTCCAGTAAACCAATTTAGGAAAGAAAGAAAACCCCCATCGATCTTCTCTTGTAAGCATTCCTTCGAAGTGTTCGCAAATCTTCATCAATAAATTGTTGGATTTTGGAAGAAGATGCCATGTTATTTCCCTTTCTTCTATTTTATTTTTTGGTCCTTTATTCTCAATACATCTTACAAGTTGGCCTTTTAGACATTTCCCTTCTCACTTGAGTACAAGAGATTAAAATCACATTAAAATCACTCAAAATTGTCCTAGTCAAAATTGAGTTATGACATAATAAGCCCATAATGAGGCCATTGGAGCCAAGTGCATCGAATCATGAAAAGATCACAATGGCCTTCCATATATTTTGTGTTGACTTTTATTATATGATATACATGTAGAGGAAAATGTGAGAGACATTAAATGTACTTTGTTTCATTTATCTTTTTTTTTTTTTGACCTATCTACTTTCCCTTTTTATTCTTCATTTGTTATTTTCATGGAGAATATTTGTTAAAATTTGAATTGATTATCTTACAAATTGTAAACTTGAACAAAATTATAGGTGCCATTAAGGGAATTAAATTAAAAAGTGGGCATGATAAGAATAAAAGATTAGAGAGTTCGATGTACATAAGAGGCATTGTTTGGACAAAATGGGGTGTCTACAATATGAATTTGGGGAGAAAGGAGAATTTTTTTCAAGTATACATGGGATTTGAACAACCAGTTTAAGAGCCCTAAACACTTAGAGCTTGTTTGGTTCCCAAGGATGATTATTTTTTGGTCAAATTATTAAAACAAGGTAAAACTGAGAAACTTATTTTGGAAACTAAGAATATCAAGGCTTGTTAAGTACAATTGTAGTTTTTGGTTATCCAAAAATTTGGAGACCTTAGAATAATATTAACAGATTTTATAAATTAATTTTTTTTTTTTTTAGTTTTGGGTATTAGTTTAAAAAATGTATACTCAATAAGTTGGTCTTTTTAATTTTTAATTTTGGTTTTCAATTAGTAATTTTGATTGTTTAACTTTTACCATCCAAAATCAAAAACTAAAAACTAAAATCTACAACAACAATAAGAAATGGAGCCTAAGCTTTTGATGTCTAATTTTTTTTTTTTTTAATTTAGCAAAGAATGTTAAAGAAATACATGTTCTTAAAAATGGATGGAATATGTATTCCTTCTTTATCCTTATTACTAGAAAATTATTAGCAAAAAAACTTATCCATTCTCAACTTCATAACAAAATTTTTTAATTTTATATTATTTTAATAGTTTGACCAGAATAAATATTATTACTAACCACATATGACTTTAGGGCCTAGGAATGAACCAAGAAGCCATGATGGTTGGTTCCTAGAATTAATAATAGAAACTCTAGGTTTCAATTTACCAAGAGGAAAGAGAGAAAGAAAAAGCATTTGCAAACTTTTATGTACTTTTATTTTTTTTTTAATATTACGTTGCACAATGATAAATAACCTTCTTTCATTATTTAACTCATTTTACCTATATATATCATGTAATTTAAACTTAAATCTTCTTATTTCAATGAAAGAAGATTACTATTATTATTAGACTACTTATATGGTAGGCAAGAGTACTTACAACCTTAATTGCATTAGTTGGTGACTTAGATTGTGCCACTTGCCATTGCAATTGTGTAAAAATTCTACCACTCTAAGGGCTTGTTTGATTACCATAGATCTCACAAAACTAATCTAAGGAAGCTGTACTTTTGGAAGCCATGGCTTGGTTTAGGAAAAATCATTTTCTAGGCACAAATTTTATTGTAAAAAGTAACTAATTATATTGCTATACATAATTGATTATATTGCTTCTGTAATACCTCAAATTTTTAGCACTCATGTGGAATAATTAATTAATTAATTAAATTAGGTATGAGATGACTAATATAAAAAAATATTTTAATAGGAGACTGAGTTGTCTAACTCTTCAATCTTGGGGGATGTTAGTAGCCAAAAAAAAAAAAAAAGAGAGAGAAGAGGGAGCACGAACCTATTAAAGAGGAAGGAAAACCTAATTTCCTTTTCGTGGTCTTCTTCTTCTTTTTTTGGTTTTCGTCTCCTCTTTCATCATCAATTCAAAACCCTTGAAGCCGTCAACCTCCTAATCTCTCTCTGATGATGCTTCTTCTCATCAAGATCACTACTTTCTATTCTTCTTTCTTTGTTTGTGATTTGAATGCCCAATGGGTGCTCCTTCTACAACTTTCTAGCAAGAAATCATCCTTAGTACTCATCTTTTCACCCTTAATTTGAATTGGGTTAACTCTAATCCTTTAGGGTCTTCGATTTTGGGATTTTTCTATAATTTTCTTCCTTGGTTTTGTCCTAGTGCCACCATATTTGATTCCTTTTGTTAGAAATTTTGACAGCATGACCTTACAGTAGTGTTTGGGCCATAAGTCTTTTTGTAGATATCAGATTAAGTTCATTCTTAATTTTGTAGAAAGTTAAAAGATAGCCCTATAATTTTTATGTTGGACATTTAACCTAGTTAAGTTGTTTTTATGGTGAAAACTCTACTGCAAGTTCAATTCCTGTAGGCGGACAGAACTGGCAGCTCATCCCTAAGTTAGTATTTTGGCCATAACTTTCTCTGTAGATGTCAGATTGAGATGATTCTTAATCCTATAGAATACTAAGACATAGGGTTACAATTTATCTGCTGACCATTCAGCCTAGATTGGTCAATTTCTAGGTGTGAATTCTGTTCAATCTTCCAATTCAAAATCTAACTAGAACTTTCCTAGAAA